GGATGAGGAATTTGACATGAGAATTATTGCTCTGCTGATAGTTAATTGGGTGCTTCACATACTAAAACTAAATACATTCCCAAAAGTTTGCATGTGATTTATGACCGACGGTTACTGTTCCAACTACAAATTGTTCTGACACTCATCCTTTTTCTTTTCCATAGTACCAGTGTTCTGCCTAAGTAGTTGTTTGTTTGTTCTATAAATCCATGTTTGTGTTTATTCATATTTCTATACTTAGAGGCATTGCTATCTTAGGGCTGATGAAACAAGTCATAGCCAACACACCTTCTACAAATTTATATACGGTCATGTTCTACGACAAAGACGTCTCACTCACAGGCTGCACTGTGGCCCACTTAATATTTTCATGTAACCCACTGAACGTCTAAAATCTTTTCATTTACTTTAGTAACTTATGTTGAGAAAATTATTCTCAGATTGTGCTGGTAGGTTCACTTCCCCGTTGCACTAAAGGGGAGGTGGACAAACGCCTTTGCCAAAACACGCCAGCTGGTGTGTGGGTTGAAGCAGCACCTTTGAAATGAATTACTGTGATCTATTCTGACAAAAAGATAATGCTATACAACCCTATGGACTTTGGATAAAATCCATTGCTGTAGAGTTCGACACCACACTCTCAAATATACAAGGAACGACTTCAGGCAGTATTCCACCATAGAATATCCAGCAACCCGAAGCTCTGCTAGAATTACATAATCTCCCCAAACATAAAACGCACCCACTCACATTCTAAGATAAGTTTCAGGACATAATGACAAACTTCCCCAAAACCATACAATCTTCTATACAAACAGGTCAAAATGTGAGGACAAGATAGGATGTGCAGCAGTGAGTCAAAATATTACCAAAAAAAGGCTTCTTCCAAAGGGAATTCTATTTTCATTGCAAAGTCTTTAAAAATCAAATTAGCTCTCAGCATTACCTCAAAGAGCAAACAAAAGAAATTTTCTAATTTTTTTCGACTCACTATCTGTCCTATTGGCTTTGAATGAAAAAAAAAACTTTGACCACGTATGAAAAATATTATTCAAAGTAAGCATGATTAACAAATAAAACATCAAAATAATGCTGGCTTCCTAGCCACATTGGAGTTAAAGATGATAATGAAGGAGGCCTAACAGCCAAATAGGCTTTAGAATGTGAATACAAGGATCAAAATTCTATCCGCAGATTTTAAGGAGGTTATTAATAAATACATTCAAAATGAATGGCAACCATGCTGGGACGATAACCCACACAACAAACTCTTTGCAATACAGCTCCAACTGGGAGAATGAAAGTCAGCTCCCAGAAAATCTCACATGAAAGAAATAGTATTGGCCCACTTATGCATTAGGCATATGGGAATAACACACTTGTGCTTACTAAACAAAAAATGATCAACCCACATGTACTATTAAACATATATTCACAGTGCTCAGATCTTGCTCTCTCTCTCTCTCTCTCTCTATATATATATATATATATATATATATATATATATATATATATTTATCGAAAAAGATGAGGACAAAACTCCTCATTGTTCCAGCTCCAACTGGGAGAATGGAAGTCAGCTCCCAGAAAATAAGTGGTACTAGCCCGTGTTCACATTAGCTATACAAGAATAACCCACTTGTACTTACTAAAGATCAACCTGTATACCGACCATGTAAAACAGCATATACTATTAAACATATTCACTGAGTGCTCAAATCTTGCTCTCTCAAGACAAAAATATTATAACGTTGTACTAAATATGCCGACAAAACTCTTCGCAATCCAGCTCCCAGAAAATCTCACAAGGAAGAAATGGTACTGGCCAACTTATGCATTGGCTATATGAGAATAACCCACTTATACATGCTAAACAAAGAAATACTCGCATGCTGAGCATGTAAAGTGGCATATACTATTAAACATATATTCACAGAGGGCTCTCAAGACAAAAATATTATAATGTAAATAGTATGTATAAGCTGTTTGAGAAAGTAAAAGTGGACGATATAATATCATTTCTTGAAACAGTAGGACTCTACCAAAAATTATAAACCAAATGAGAATGTCAAAATCAATTTCTTTTGTGGGGTTCAGCGTACCCGGATTAAAGGAGAATTTAATACGGGATACCCTGCCCACAAAATACAACGCAAATTTCAAGAAGAAACAACACGATAAGGAAAGTTTATAGAAAATAGAACATTGTATATTTATTATCTTGTGAATAGGGTAAAAAAGATTAATGCTTTAGTTCGTTTAAGCAAAAATGTGATTTTGATGAAAATGTCTGTGTTCGCTGTCTTTTAACGGAGTAGCAGAATAATGTCTGTTTCTTTTGTTTTTGTATAGTTGTAAAATGAAAAAGGGGCGAGCAATTTAAGTTGAAAAAGTGTGTGAATGAGGAATAAAGATAAAAGGAAAATGTACTTATGAATTGTTTTGGAGTAAATTTGTTGTTGTTGTTGTTCTTTCCTACTCCACTTTCGGCTCTTTGTGTCGGTTTGAATCAGTGATGAAATTTACTGTCAATCTTCTGTGATCTTTGCGCCTTTCTCTGACTGACTGACTTGAAAAAAAAAAAAAATATTTATTGTTGACTTTTTTTCACACTGGCTCGTTATCTTTTTTTTTTTTTTTGTTTAGCAAATCGCCTCCTTTCATTGGTCAGAAAATTAATTTCACACCTTATTGTGAAATCTGTTTTTGATCGTTTTGATCCGATTTTGCGGGTGTGCACATCTACTTTGTGTTTTTTTTAGTCATTTGTTGGAATATAGGATTTGTATCCTATACTCTACAAACCGTGTACCTGAAAAGAATACATCGATGAAACCAGACTCTTGACAACAACACTTTTTACAAAAATATATCAATGAAACCAGATCTACAAACTGTTTCCTTGCCAAGGATGTATATTCTATTCATGCGAATCTATTGTAAAAATCTTGTCAGCATTAAATAAACCATTGAAGTTGATATGCCGTTAAACAAAAATAAACCGGCAAGATCCAGAGGTAAATAAAAAATTATTTATCTAGAATTTTTTTTTTTTACTGCCTATAATACAGTATTTTTTGTAATTATTAGGTTGGTGCAAAAATAATGACGTAAGAATGTCGTTTTTTGACGTTAAAAAATACGTAAAAAAAACGACATTATTGCGTCATTATTTTTGCAATTTGACCTGATATATATAAATATTTAACAGATTTGAGAAATAACAAAAAGACAATCCTCTTTTTCTCCACCCAGCTCTGGGTAAATAGCAGGACAGACCGGGTTCTGTAGCCTTGGATAGCAATGGGTCTACCGTAGAAAGAAATGGCAACCTACTGCAAGAAAGAAATCTGCTTCGTCAGTCATGTATATTTCGATATATGACCACCTAAGTGTGTATCAGACATGACACATACTTGACCTAAACTGATTCCCATTTAACTAACAGTCTTAGAATAAAGCCAAGTACCATAGAAGCAAATATTGACAATATTATAAAAGGAAAGCAATGTCAAAAACCAAATTGAATTTATTTTATTTTATCTATGTATAATTTCTTCTTCTTCTTCTTCTTTTTTACTGTCAGTAATACAGTATTTTTTGTAATTATATATATTTATTAAAATTTCATATTCACATTTTGAACTTTTAAAAAGTATCTCTATCTATAAAAGGCAGGATAAGTGTGTGCGTGTGTGTAACGAATGCACAGCCGCAATTTTCGACGGATTTGCACTAAAATTTACATGCGCATGCTCCAAGTTAGCGGGAAGTCCAAGACCGACTTTGCATTTCCCAACTCCTATCGATAGTGGAAATAATCGATTTTTTCATGCTTCTATGGCAGTTTTCATGTAGTTTGCAGCCATTTTGTATGTAGTTTGCGGCCATTTTGTAAATAGGCCAGAAGATTCTATTGAGAGCCAACAGCTGACTGACACGAATGTTAACTAGCATGCAAAAAAAATCGATAGCTGCATTCGTCACAAGTGGGAAAAATTTAAATCTGCATGGCACTTTACTCCAATTGGCTCATTCGCTTGCTTAATCTCAACGTTGATTCTGATTCCGCAGAACTGGGTTGGGTGTGAAAAAGTATTTGTTGTTAACATTCTTTTTTCATTCGGTTTTTCCAGTTACGAGTCCTTTTTTAAAGCTGATCGTTTTGTGTTCATTTTGTTTAGTTCTTTTTTTTGTAATGGATTTAATGTTTAGTATAGAGCTTAGAAAAAATTCGCAGTGTGAGATAGGCAAGAAGTAAGGCATGTAGCAACATCAGCACGGCCAAAGGGCACTCCTTTAAAGGCAAGGAAGGGCAAAAAATATTTTAAGTCAAGTGATAGCGATTGCTGTATGTCGTACGATTTTTGAATCAAGCACGGGCAACGCTGCTAGTATTTATATAAAGTACTTTCGTGGCCCGGTGACTATACCAAAATTTCTAATTTGACTCATTAAGAAAAAATGTTGGACAACCCTGTTGCAAGAGATCGTGTGTGATTGAGAGGAAGGGTTATTCTTTCTAGAAATACTGATTTTTCTCCCACTTCATCATTCGCAAACATCCATGTTATAGAGAAAGGACTGTGGCCATTGTTGCTTGCATGCAAACAAAGAACACTTTTTTAACTCTATTATTGTTCTGCCAACCGAACCCCTCCATCTATGTATTTGCCATTATTAATGCAAGGTTTCAACTGATCCGTTTTAAAGACTTTGTCAAAAGAAAGAAAAATGAATGGCCAAGAAAAATGGTCATTAATAAACTAACATAATAATTTGTAATTTTTCATCTTTTTCTTATCTTCACTTTTGTTCTGGAAACTTCCTACAAACACAATCCTTTCTTTATAAACCTTCTAGATCTTCATCTGCCAAGCCAAAAGTCTTCATTTTTTTTTTTTTTTTTGCATAATGCTAACAAGCATGTCTGCGTGCCAGACTCTTTGACTGCCTCTGCCTGCTTTTTGTTTTTTAACATGTACAACCATTCTCTTCAGATCCTCAGAGCAGCCAAACTTACCGCACAAAAAGAGAAACTGAAGCTGTGAGTACAAAGAGAGGTCAGTTAACAAAACAATTTTACGTTTACCTTTTTGTTTTTTTGTTTTGTTTTGTTTTCTTCTTCAATAGAATATTTAATGGAAAGTTATTTTTTTTGTTTTGTTTGGACTTTTTTCATTTGTTCAATAGAATATTTATTTTGTTTTAAAATAAATATATTTTACATCTTTAGTTCAGAATAACATTTCTGTTGCTTCAAGTATCGATTTCATCTGTGAGAGATTGCAAGGTTTATTTTATATAGGAGGACTGATATTATAAAACAGTTCAAACTCTTTTCTTTGTTTCTCTTGGGTCAAGTCTCTTCTTCATCTTGATTTTTCATTGTTACGAGGACTGATATTATAAAACAGTTCAGTACTTTTTCTTTTAAATTGCAATTCTCTTTTTCATCTGTGAGGAGATTGTCCACATTCACTGCCATGAGGAGGACTTCAGTACTCTTTTTTTGTTTCTCTTCATTCATCTGTAAGGAGATTGTCCAGCATTCATTGCTATATACGAGGACTGATATTATAAAACAGTTCAGTACTATTTCTTTGTTTCTCTTGCTTCAATTTCTTTTCATTTGTGAGGAGATTGTCCACCATTCATATGCCATAGAGGAGGACTGACATTACATAAAATTCAGTATCTTTTTTTTGTTTCTCTTTGCTTCAAGTCTCTTCTTCATCTGTGAGGAGATTGTCCACCATTCACTGCCATAGAGGAGGACTGATATTATAAAACAGTTCAGTACTCTTTTCTTTGTATCTTGATACTTTGCTTAGCTTTTGGAAGGCATCTTTTGCTATCCCAATGCCCCTACAGATTTCAGTCACACCAAAACATAACAATACAAAAATGAACTCTTGAGAGAGTTGTCATGTGAGTGTGCATTCTGTTGTAGTCTAGAGGTCAGAGAGCAGAAAGGTCAAAGCTTTGTTTACAATAAAAATAAAGAAGAGGATATTAGTTTGAATGATAAGAACCGAAAAAGATATTATTTTAAAATTATAAAACAAAATATTTATTTAAAGTAATATGTGTCATATTTAAATAAAAATTAGCAACTTATGTTGAGCAATCTATCAATAATTCTTTGATTTATTCATACCTACCTACCTACCTTCAGTGTGGACTGTACAATATAAGAAAAGGTTTACTTTTATTCTTCAATTTCTGTAGTGAACATATAACAGTATAGATGCAAAAGGCCCTGGGTTACGTGTGGACATGTCTGTCAAAGTTAGTCCTATTTAAGTTTTCTCTGTTAACAGCTGAACAGCTTGGCATGGCCAAATACAGGCCTCTCTACAACTGTCTTGTGTCAGTAAAAGTGATAGGAAAACCAGCAGTTGGCAGTTGGGGAACTCACTCTGTTATTGTCAAAGTCGTTGTTTTGTGAAAATGCTCCCGTGTAGGTATGACGATAAACTACATCTGGCACCAAAGCTTCTGATTGGGAGATTGGACGTTTTGAGGAGCATGGAATCACTTCTTAATTGCTGTTGTTCACAGATCCACCCTTCTGGCAGCAAGACCATTTATTGGGAGATTGGAGGTTTTGAGGAGTGTGGAACTAACCCTTAACAGCTGTTATTCCCAGGTCCACCATTCTGGCAGCAAGGCCTCCGATCGGGAGATTGGGGGTTTTGTGGAGTATGGAACCCCTCTTAATTAATTGTTCAACCATCCTTCTGACAGCAAGGCCTCTAATTGGAGATTGGAGGTTTGATCCTTCTGACAGTTGTTCAAGGCCTCCTCTAATTGGAGATTGGAGGTTTTGAGGTGTGTGGAACCCCCTCTTAATTGCTGTTGTTCACAGGCCCACCCTTCTGACAGCAAGGCCTCTGATCCGGAGATTGGAGGTTTTGAGGAGTGTGGAACCACCTCTTAATTGCTTTTGATCCCAGGTCCATCCTGATTCCAGGTGGTAGCACCTGTTAGGGTCCCAGCTACGGGCAAATAGTGAACCTCCAAACAAAAATCAACAGTACATTTTTATAATAAAATGACTAACAATACATTTTTATAGTACATTTACCAACAACACATTCTATGATCTACAAACTATATGACTACAAAAAAATTACTTTCCTCTGAAAGTATAAAATTATGTACAGTGTAACCCGGATATAAGAGACCCGTATATAAGAGATTTTCTCTGGTCCCAAAGTGTTCCCATACTTACCTAAACAAAATAGACCAAACCCGGATATAAGAGAAACCCAGATATAAGAGACTTCTTCTCCGGTCCCGACAACTCTCTCATATCCGGGTTACACTGTACAAAATATCTGGAGTTAAAAGTATAAAAATTACATATGAAATATTTAGATTTCGTCATTAAATAACACATAGAGGTTGATACACAGCTAAATAAAATCAACCAACCAATCCTTGGGCTCATTTTGTTCTGATAGTTATAGATCGCCCAAGACGGGGTGGCTTTTGAGGCAGTGGCCTCACTAGTCATTTACTCAGTTTTATTTTGTTTCCTCTTGTGTCTTTCCCCTCTCTTCATGTCCCCCTCTAATTAAGAGAACAGTCGGTTAAATGTTTCTCCCAATCTCGACACGCTTGCCTTATTTTACAACAGTCTCCAATACACGTTCTTTGTCAAATACACTTTCATAAAAAGATGTCATTTGCAATGTCCTTTCTGAGGAAAGACCTTTGCAGGTAGGTTTTCACTCGGTAAATAAAAACACGGTGATTAGATTTAAATCATAACACCATATAAACTCTGGAGTGAACATTTTTTTTAAAGATAGAAGCTCTGTTATTTGGTTCTTTTGACCATCCATTTTGATTGTTTTAGCTTTGTGAACTTCCATATCCACTTTTATGGCTGGTCCCTTCACTGGGAATAGTACCTCCCCTAACCCTTTTATATATAAACCTTTTGTTTTTATTTCTAGGTTTTCCTTTATAAAAAGCTACCCTGATAAGCCCTCTTTTATTACTTCTGTTTGGAGAATTACTATTCCATTTTTCTTTCAAAATGGAAGCCTATTACAATAATTCTAATTTTGTAATCGGCGTCCACAGCAAATTCTTTGGCATGCTTTTTATCTGACGTTTTTTCTAACGATTTGTACCCCACCTTTTTTAAGCTGCTTTTATTGTAAATTAACTGCATCCTGGTGAAGGGAAGTAACTCTTTGCCATCAGCATTTGTTTATTTCTTGCCATTTTTTTTCTGCTTGTCTTTAAGCATGGCATTTTTTGACCAATTATTTATATTTTGTAAAATTGATTTTATTTCTTGAGAAAGAAGAATTTTTCTTTTACATTTTTCCTTTAAATTTTCCTTCATGTAACATTCTCCCGCATATAAAATGCCTCCCCTCTTATATTTTAGTATGTACCATCGTATATTTATTAAAATATATTTTAAAGTTATATGCTAGAATATGTCCCTTGTTGTGTAGAGAACAGAGTTCAAATTCCAGTCAGGTTCATTACATTCACTTACAAATAGAGAAAAGTATGAATCCCTTTCTTCTCCCTCAAGCTATGGGTTGAATAACAGGACAGAATTGGTCCTATAGCCTTGGTTGGCAACAAGTCTACCGCAGAAAGAAATGGCAACCTACTGTGGGAAAATCTTCTGCCTAGTCAGTCATGAAACGAAAGAGACATGATCGACCAAGTGTGTATCACGTGATGGCACTTTACTGGCTTTATCTCTTCTTCCCTTGACTATGATTTGAATAACAGGACAGAATGGGTCCTATAGCCTTTGATGGCAACAAGTCTACCACAGAAAGAAATGGCAACCTACTGCGGGAAAATCATCTGCCTCGTCAGTCATGAATCAAGAGACATGATCGCTCAAACATGTATCACATATCCTCCCCCAGCTCCAGTTGTTTTTTCACCCTCATTGCTCACCCATCTCTAAATGTTTTCCACCCTTAGTCCTCACCTACTTCCAACCATTTGGAGTTGAGCAATATTAAGGTATGTCAAAATATATTGATTTTTTTTTTTTCATTGAAACACTGTTTTTTGTACAATAACTAAAGTTAAACAACATGGAGTCAGTTCAGCAGCTCGATGGGTGACTGCTTGGGAACACCATATGCTGTAAACTTGGATGTGTGGGTGGTGTAATGGATAATAGGCTTGGAATTGTTAATTAGAGAGTCGAGTTCCAATACCAGTTGGGTTCGTTATATTCACTTACATGCAAATACCTTTGGGAGAGGTATGAATCCACCTATTCTCTCTCCAGCTATAAGTTAATTATCTCAAAAATTTTCTTACAATTTAATATTTTCTGGCTTTAAATAACCTTCAACGGGTTGATAAGCTGTAGAAAATGAATGAATCAATCAACAAAAAACTCATTAGCTATACAGGCATATCTTTTAGATTTATTTACATTCTCTAGAATATAAATATATAGAAATTAAATCTGGCCACTAAGTGAGGGATCAGTTTATATATTGATTGTAATGTAGAATTGATATCTCAATTTATATCCATATTATAATTTCTTGGTTGTTAAGTGATAATAAACAAATCAATCAAGGTACACTGGCATGTCTTTTAGATTTATTTACATTCTCTGGAATATAAATGTATAGAAACTATTCTGGTCACAAAGTGAGAGATCAGTTCATATATTCATTGTAATGCAGAATTGATCCCCCACTTTATATCCACATTATAATTTCTTGTTTGCTTATCAAATTCGGATTAGGTATGAATCAACTGCTTCTCCCTCCAGCTATGGGTTAATTAGTAAGACTTGTATCACTAAACCATTATTATCTCCTAAAACAATTCTTGCAATCTAAAAATATTTCTTGCTTTAAATAAACTTCAAAGATTAAGCCGTAAAAAAAAAAAATCAACCAACATCATGATGCTTGGAAAATATGACCCTCACAGGGCATATTGGGGACACGAGAGACAGGAAGGCAACGAGGCTCTTACCTGATGAGCTTGGGCGATTGGATGGCAGAATAGGGGCAGTGGTAGTCTTAGCAAAAAATAAATGTTTGTATTTTTCAACTGGTCCAATGATTCTATCATCAAAGCGTGTGACATAACCCATTTTGCATTGAACGTAAGCGATCATATTAGGTTACAGACATTCTTTCATCTCAAGTACCTGTTGCTCTGCTTTTGATCAAATTTAGCAAACAACGGTGACTCATCAGTGTGTTAACTCTGGGATTACACATTCGTCAGTGATTGTGTCCATTTGTAGCATTCATATTAACAATGACTATTGTTGTTTAGGCTTATAGCTATATTGCATAAAAACATTGGCTCCATAACATTGAGCCTGATCAGTGACCTAGATGGGTGACCACCTGGGACACCAGGTTCTCTAAGCTTGGATGTGTGGGTGGTGTAATCAATAATGACTCAAAATTATTAATTGGAATATCAATTTCTCCTATGATCACCGAAGTTAAACAATGTTGAGCCTGGTCAGTACTTAATTGGGTGACCACTTGAGAATACCAGAATGCTGTAAACGTGGATGTGTGGGTGGTGTAATGGATAATGGCTCAGAATTATTAATCGGGTTGCCGAATTTCTGTATGATCACTGAAGTTGAGCAACGTTGAAACTGGTCAGTATCTAGATGGGTGACCACTTGGGAATACCTGGTGCTGTAAGCTTAGGTGTGCGGGTGGTGTAATGGATAATGACACAAAATTATTAATCAGGTTGCCGAGTTCCCGTATGATCACCGAAGTTGAGCAATGTTGAGACTGGTCAGTACCAAGATGGGTGACCACTTATGAAAGCCAGAAAATATTTTCAGATTCTAAGAATTTTCTTTTAGGAGATAAGAATGGTTTAGTAATATATGTCTTACTAATTAAGCCATAACTGGGGGAGAAGAGAGGGATTTATACCTAATCAGAATTTGATGAATAAATAATAATGCGGATATATCCACGATAAACTATATTCAGCAGGAAGGCCTCTGATCAGGAGGTTTTGAGAAGCGTGGAAACCACCTCTTAATTGCTGATGTTCCCAGGTCCACCATGACCCAGGATGGTAACACCTGTTAGGGTCCCAGCTAACCCTGAGACTATGAAAGTGTAAAAATAGGTTTTAATACCAGAAATACTTTAAAAAATTATTACCAGCAATAAATTTTTGAAAAAAAATATTACCAACAATGTTTTTAGAAAAAAAAATATTACCAACAATGTTTTTTGAAAAATAAATATTACTAGCAATACATTTTTTAAAAAAGAAAATATTACCAGCTGTACATTTTTGGAAGAAAAATATTACCAGCTGTACATTTTTGAAAGAAAAATATTACTAGAAATAGATTTTTGACAAAACAAAATATTACCAGCAATAAAAATTTTGTCCGCATTAAATAACGTATTGAGGTGTTGATATGCTGTAAAACAAAACAAAAACCAACCATGACTCTAGTTTTAGTTTCATAGCAATTGCAATATTTGTTTGATTTTTTTTTTTTTTTTCCTTTGAATGATTTTTATTTAAGAGTGTTATTTTTTTTTTTTTAATATGAGATTAAAATAAAGTATAGTCCAAATCATCGTTTGCCACTCTCAAATTTGCAGGTGTTTGGTCAACCATTCTACTAAAAGAGTCTCCCCAGACGGGCGCCCTCCTCAATGTCCACAGTCTTGATGCTGGAGATATTTACCAATTTCGTGTCATGGCAATAAATTGGCTTGGAATCAGTTTTCCAAGTGAACCTTCTGAGGCTTTAAGAATTGAGGATCCTTCCACAGGTAAGCAATGAAACAAGTTTTTTTCTTAATGGATTTAACCGTAAGTAATTGTTCTTATGAACTTTCCTCTATGGTACCTAGACTCTATGAAACACAGTACTAGATTGGCAGCTAGGTCTCATCATTTTATAGTTGAAATGGGAAGATGTAACTGTAAGTTCTCTGCAGACAATTTCTCCTTTCACACTTGTGGAAATCTATTTTAGATTCCCAGTCAAGTTTGTCACGCTTCACTTATAGAAATCTTTTTTAACTTCCTAGTGAAGTCTGATCTTTAAAAATTTTATCTTTACCTTCCTGTTCTTTTATTGAAAGAAAGCATTTTTTTTTTTGTAGAAAAATTACATGAGTAATTCATTCACCTTTTATAAATTCATGTAATTGTCTATGCATCGTCATCTAAGTCAATCAAACAAAACCACCATATTTACTTGCTACTCCTCATGTTGGCAATATAAAACACATTCTTTCTAAGTGGTATAGCACATCAGATCAATTGAAAGTTCTGTATATGACACAGGTAGAGTTATTATATGCATACGTTTGGGGCCAGGGCAAAAATTGCCATGTCACCACTGACGTTGGTATTTCACCATGCTTCGGACTTCTTCAGGTGATTGGAATTTTGAACTGAACCTTTTATTTCATCCAACAGAGTAGATTGTTCTAGCTTCACATGCCAGATATTTCAGGAATAGTTATTTCCAGCTATTTCAGCAATAGTTATTTCCAGATTCTGTCTATATTTCTGAGATGGGGTGTTATGTACAGTATTTACATTAGTCGGACTATTGTCCGCATCTTTGTCGCCATATTTGTCACAAAGTTTCGGCCGTTGTACGCTCCGGCCTTCTTCAGGTGGTTGGAATTTCGAACTGAACCTCAAGGACACACTGTGCCATGTGTCCTCAAGGACACATGGCACAGTGGATAAAGGCGTTGGTTAGATCCAGTGACAGACCCAAAGAGTGTGAGTTCAATACCCGCTTAAGGCAGTGGAGAACTTTCAGAGGGAAAATTAGCAGGAGATAACTGATAACTGACATCCATCAAACATGGCACGTGGAACTAGAACAGTCTACCCCAGTGATCGAAATAAAGGGTTCAGTTCGAAATTCCAACCACTTGAAGAAGGCTGGAGTGTACAACGGCTGAAACGTGACAAATATGGCGACAAAGATGAGGACAATACTCCGACTAATGTAAATACTTATTTCCAGATATTTCTCTTTTAACTCAACATTCCAAGTTTTTGTTCGCCTCTAGCCAGGTATTGAACTCGCAACTCATTGAGTCAAGTCACTGGATTCAACCACTGGGCCATCAGTGTATGAATTTTGGGCACTTATAAAGCTATTGTCTCAGTAACCATATTTTACCAAGGCTCATATTTCAATTTTGTGGTTATTATTGCTTTTCTCTAGTACTCCATATTACTGGTTTTCATATTTTATGCATTTCTGTGCTTGGCTGGCTTAGGAGCTTTTTGTGGCTTAGCATATGTGCTGATTCCTTAGGTTTTCGTATTTTCCTTTGATGTTCTCTATTATTTCATCTTCATCCCACAGAGGGCAGTGATCTCCCTTTTCCCTATATAGTCAGCCATGCCTAATTTTTCTATTTCCTCTCGTGTTACGGCTTTGTCACAGTAATCATTTTTTGTTATTATTGTTTTTTTTCTTATCACTCCGTATTACTGGTTCCCATAATGTATTCATTTCTATGCTTGGGCAGCTTAGGAGATTTTGTGGCATATCATATGTGCTGATTCCTTAAGTTTTCATATTTTCCTTTGATGTTCTCTGTCTAGTAATTCAACCTCATCCCACGGGAGGGGGGGATATCTCCCTTTTCCCTCCATATGTGATCAGCAACACTTGAACAACTAGAACACTTTACTCCGGTGGACGAAATAAAGGGTTCATTTCAAAATTCCAATCACCTGAAGAAGTCCAGTGTACAATGGTCAAAACATTTTGAATATAGCAATAAAGATGAGGACAACAGTCCAAATAATGTAAATAGTTACAAAACCTCATCTCAGAAATATAGACAGATCCTGAAGAAGGCCAGAGCATGCAATGGTCGAAGGGTTGTGAATATGACAATAATGATGAAGACAACAGTATGAACAAGGTAATAGTGTACATTAACAAATATGACACTGTGTTTTGCCTCAATGCGGGTTCTCTGCTCAAGTCTTTGAGCTCTCAAAACTATCTGCTTATATGCACTTTGACCCAAAACTGGTGGGGAGCCAAAGGGTTCTTAGGATTCTTGATTCTACAATTCCCAAATTAATCTTAATAATTGTTCCCTATTTATGCTTTCTTAATCAACTTTCCTAATTTGGAGAATTATCCACATTCTCAGTAGTTATAGGGATTGCTCCTCCCCTACCTCCAACCTGCTTCACTTCACATCTTGTACCACCACTCCACACAGGCAGTGCCAAATCCTCCCTCTTCCTCTCAGCATTCCCCCTCAGTCTATCAGAGCTGACATAAGTGTATTAGTGACAAATCTAATTTTTAAATCATCTGGGCAAAAGGACATAGTTTATTTTAATCATTAATTTTAATTCTCTTTCCTCAAGATAGAAAAAAATTACCTCTCCATTCTTGGACTTATTTATGCCCAGCAAAAACACAAACTAGATCACCCTCTCAGCAGCTACAGGTTCTGTTTTCATAACTTTGACCCTAAGAAAAAGGGTTTGTCCCTTGTTTTTATATCCCAATTTGTTTTTGTCAATGAAAATATATTTGTTTGCCTAAATTCTCAAAGAAGAGATAAAATTGTTCTCCATCCCTTGGCTGATCACCTGCTTGTCACAGTAGGAACTATCTTCATAACTTCAACCCTCACAATGGGTTCATTCTTTGTTTAAATTTCCCAAGTCTGTCTCTCCTTAACAAATGTTTTCCTAATTCTTCAAGAAAAAGATAAAACCATTTCTCCAAATTTGTTTTCATCTGCATTCCAGACAGTACTATTTTCACCAAGGAAAATGTCTCCATTCTCTCTATCTTCAAGCTTATATTCCATTTTGGGCTTAACTATTTTCTTCTCAGAATGAACATTTAAACCTCCTCACGGACTCAATGTCACACAGTGTCAATCGTTATCTACTGTCCACCTGATAACTCTATTATTCTTTCTCTTTAATAATGTTTTTTTTTTATTCTTTCTCACTCAGCAACCCCTTGTGTCTTAGTGGCTTTACTGCCTTGCATGGGGTGAAATGATTAGAAAACAAATTTAAATGCAATGTCAATCATTATCCACTGTCTTCTTGATTACTCTTCTTCTGTTTTTCTCGCTCCTTAATAATGTTTCTCTTTTTTCTTATTCTTTCACACTCAGTAACCACTTGGGTCTTAATGGCTTTACTGCCTTGCATGGGGTGATATAATTTAAAAAGTAAACTACAGTATATTTGCTTTTACTTTGACAAGAAATAAGCATTTAACTACAAAAAATTATACAACAGCATTATATTTTGTTTTAGTCAATAAAACCACCACCTGCCCTAATTAATGCTTTACAAATTCTGGTCATTCTTCCAACAGTTTTGATCTTTCAAAATTTAAATACAATCATTATCTTCTGTCTTTTTAATTCTTGTTCTTTTATTGTTCTCACCGCTTAGTGTTTTTTTTTTCTCAGTCTAACTCGGCAACCCATGTGCTTTGGTGGCTTTATTGCCTTGCTTGTTGGTGATGTGATTATAAAAAAACATGGGAAACCTCCTTCAAGCCAGATATAGTTCATATATAGACTTGGAAATGTCCTAATGTAAGATGCGCATTTCTTAAATAGGTAAATTGAGCCTTGCTTTGCTGTGATAGCTTCCTGTAGCCTAATGGCAGTGTGCATGATTCAAGCATCAGATGTTCAGTTACATTTTTTTTCTCTCTCTCTTTATTTTAAGGTTCCCTGGTTGATGGAAAACGTCACCTTATTGCCCGACCATTCCATACGGAATGGTGGTTTCTGGTTATCATTGCTCTCAGTGGACTCATAGTGATCATGACCGTTATTCTGTTATTGGTGCTGGTTGGTAGAAAGAAAAGAATGAAGCGTAAGTACTTTCTAGTCACACTATTGCTCATCACTGATGGTATATACCAGTTGGTTATGGCCAACTCACATTGAAACACCAGTTCTCGTCATCCTGGGCGTACAAGAAACTACATCTGCATCCTGGGTAAGACGATAAACTACGTCCAGCAGCAAGGACTTCGATCAGGAGGTTTTGAGGAGCATGAAATCACCTCTTAATTTCTGTTGTTCCCAGGTCTACCCTAACCTGGGGTGGTAACACCTGTTAGGGTCCCAGCTATGGGCAAATAGTTAACCCCTAAACTGGGGTCAAAGAGTAAAAATAAGTTTTAATACCAAATGATTTTTTTTTTTAAAAAAAATTATTACAAGCAATACATTTTTGAAAAATAAATATTACCAGCAATACATTTTTGGATAAAAAAAAAACAAACAAAACATATCTAGCTATACATTTTTTGACAAAAAAAGAAAATTAAAGAAAAAACTTACCAGAAATAGATTTGCTATAGAAAAAAAAATATTGCCAAAAATAGATTTTTTGAAGGGAAAAATATCACCACAAACAGATTTTTTTTGAAAAAATATTTTTTATAATATTTTTTTTTTGTTGGCATTAAATAAACCACTGAGGTTGATATGCCAAAAAAAACAAAATAAAGCAAAAAAATTTAAACTAAAGAATGCATATTCTCTTCATACGAATCTATCCTAAAAATGTTGTCGGCATTAAATAACCCATTGGTTTGGTTTATTTTGTTTTACGGCATATCAACCTCAATCTAAACCAAAGAATGCATATTCTCTTCATACGAATCTATCCTAAAAATGTTGTCAGCATTAAATAACCCATTGAGGTTGATATGCCGTAAAACAAAATAAACCAAACTAGATGGCTGTGCAACATTGGGTGGCCACCAGTTTAGGTGAAAAGCATAGTTGAATTCCAAAATCATTGATAAGGTAACATGAAACAACAAATAATAAAAAGAAAGGAAGATGTGGAGAATCAAGACAGTATTTTAAAAAAATTCTTATAAAATGTCAATGAAAAGATTTATATCAAAATTCCTTTTTTTTTGTCTTCCTAAATTTTATAACTTGACATTCCAGGTGAAAGTATGCGGAAAAGAAATACTCCACCCCTGCCACTGGAACCACCCCCAGTGGATGATGGTGGATTTACAACATTTGACAGACGATCAGTTTATTGAGAAAAAAAAGTTTAAAAATACTGGATGACTTTTCTAAATGATCAGTCAGTATAATTTATTTCTTTTCAAATAGTGTTAGTTTTGATTTTAAAGTTGTTATATATGTATAGATACCAATTTCTGTTGTTTTGCAATGCATAACACATATAGTGCTATTTACATTGTTCAGACTGCTGTTCTCATCTTTATTGTCATATTCACTACATTTTGACCTTTGTATGCTCCAGCCTTCTTCAGGTGATTGGAATTTCAAACTGAACTCTTTATTTCATCCACTGGAGTAGATTGTTCTAGTTCCACATGTCATGCCTCTTCTGAATGTCTCAGTTATCTCCCTTTAACTCAAATCTCCAATTTTGTGTTCACCACTGCAACAACAAGGTACTGAACTTAAAACTCTTTGGTTCAAGTCACTGGATCCAACCAATGATTTTACCCACTGGGCTGTGTGTTCTTGGAGAGTTGATTTAAAGGGAGATAACTAGTGAAACTAATAGACACACCCCTTACTGTTTTTGAAGTTAAAAAATTGTAGCATATCTTCTACTCATAAAATTGATAGGTCTTTTATTGGGTTTTCAGAATGGCTTCAATTCAGTTTAAATGTTGCCATAAAATTATAAAAGCTTAGTGAAATGGTTGTTGGATTGTCTGAAAATAATCTTATATATTAATATCTGATATATAGTAGCTAAAAATAAAATTAATGTCATTGATGTAAGTGCTACAAAGGCTGAAAAAGGGTTTTGTGTGATGAATATAATTTATTCTGACAAAAGAAATCGTCTTGAAGTTAAAAATGTGGCACATTTTCTAGTCATGATAGGTTTTCCATTGGATCCTTGGAACCGCAGCAATTCAGTTCAGTTGTGGCTAAGAAACCATAAGACAGCTGATGGCACTAGAGTCAAAAAGTATCATACGTTGGAACAGAAATATAATTAGAACAGAATTTCAATCTGGAAATATCTTAATAAATAAATGTTGTTTTCTATTAAACTATCAAAATGGTTTAATTCTTTTTGATACAATATAAAGTGATTTGTTTTAATTCTCAGTTTGAAAAGAAATTAAGCAGAATAGGTTCTTAAAGATTACCTGCCTTTATAAAAATGGTTCCTGGAATGGGGATGCCATTATTACTTGTAATTCAATACTACCTGCTGGTTAGATAATTGGTGACTAAACCAGTTCCATCAGGATCTTCCTGATCAATCAAAATTCGTAAATAATTATATAGGCCATTCTTTTTAACATGTCTGAATGAAGACTCATTTAAATTACACCTTTTTAAAAATGATTTATTTAATTAGATCTCATTTAAATATTCATGGAGACGTACAGACACTATTTGTATTTAGGTTTTATTTTTGTTTGTTTACAAAAATAAATAGTGGAAAATCTTCATCTACATGCAAAAAAAGGCTAAAAATAATTAATCCTTTTTTAATAAAAAACAAAAAAACAACACTTAATAATATCAACTAAACATAGACACAATATCTTGACTGTGTTTTGAAAAATGAAAACATTATATAAATACATATTATTTCAACAAACTATTTCTTATTTAACAATTAAAATATTTAATCCTTGAAAATGGCTAAATGTATAGCTGAAAGTGCTCAGATAAAAAGAACATTCGGACAGTTTTTATAGAATTTATCATAAGAAAAGAAAAAAAATTATTAGATTGCATGAGAAATTGTTTAAAATCTAAATAAAAGCACCTTGTCTGTCGTATTCAATGAAATGTCCATATATATATATATATTCTGTTTATTTTTAAATAAACACTATTACATTTACCATCCTGAATGTTAAAGAAATTTTATAGAAAATATGTGTTCTCCAACAGGACTCAAAACTATATGTGATACAGAACCACATAGGATCATATGCAATTGATGTCAGATCATATATATATATATATATATATATATATATATATATATATATATATATATAAATGTGGTTAATATGAGTAAATGTTATCAGATTGATGTTAACATCAGCATCCCAATCCAGAAAAAAGTAGATGGACCTTCCATCCAAATCAGGGATATCAGAAATTTAAAAATAAATTTTTTTCTTTTTTTATATATGTAACATTGGCATAAGTTCTTTCTTTATTTTATGTTTCCATGTGCATATGCATTTTAACCTGTCTCTGCAGATGTGCATTCACCCATCTGTACAGATGTGTGTATGTGCATTGTGTCATAATCATTTGTCGTTTTTGTTTGTGTCTTTTTTGTGTGTATTTATTTTAAAGTTATTACTCTTTTTTTTTTTTTTTTTTTTTTGAGTTGTTCCAATCTTAGACGTTTTAAGACTTTTTTCTTTGGGCATTCTATTTTTTATTTTATTTTTTTTTTTTTAATATATGAATAATTTTGGATATATATAGACTCATCAAAATCTCTTATGCTATCCGGCAGGTCCCCACCTCGTCCAAGTCCAGCAAGTGTAACTTATTCTGATGATGATGCTGACGCAAAACCACCATTGGATGACAACAGCAGCAGTTTGACCGAAAAGCCTGATATTGAAGAATTAACAAAAATGAAAATACACACACTATATATATATATATATATATATATAAATATATATTTACATTTTTTGTAGGTGAAAATAACAGTATCAATAAATATATATATATATATATATTGCATATATATCATATATATACATATATGTATATCAGGTCATCCCATAAGTTCTGTCCAAATTTTAACTTTTTTTAAAAATAAACAAAATTTAAAAGGTATTTTATAATATCTAATCGAGTTGAACATTATTTTTATGTTTAGATGCATTTAAACTGATCAAATTTTATTTCAGAGAACAAAAAAATTAAATTTTGTTTGACTAAAACCCTGCTAACATGGAAATACCCAAGAATCATTTGAGGCACATAATGCTTTATGAGTTCAAGAAAGGAAACTCAGCAGCCGAAGTGGCTAGAAACATTCACTCAATTCATGGAGAGGAATGTGTGGATGAAAGAACTTGCAGAAGATGGTTTGCAAAATTCAGAGGTGGAGATATCACCCTTGAAGATGAAGATCGTCCAGTTGAGTTTGATGAAAAGCTTCTTGAAGCAGCCCTTGAAGAAAATCCTGCTTTATCAGTTGAGGAATTGGCAGTGGTTCTCAGTTCAAACCATACAACTGTTCATCATCATCTTCCTAAACGTGGAAAATGGGTGCCTCATGAATTGTCTGAAAACAACCTCAAATCCCGAGTTGACATCTGCTGTTCCCTCCATTCTCGCCAACTTGTTTCACCTTTTTTTGGATAGACTTGTGACTGGCGACGAAAAATGGATCTTTTATCGAAATGTTAAGCGTCGTAGACAGTGGCTTGGTAAAGGGAAGGACCCCAGCCACAGCCGAGAAGGGAACTTCATGGGCAAAAGGTTCTTCTTTCAATCTGGTGGGATCGCCAAGGAATAATCCACTTTGAATTCTTACCACCTAATGCAACAATTAATGCTCAAATATACTGTCAGCAATTAGAGCGTTTGAACCAAGCTTTGAGGAAAAAAAACCTGCTCTAGTGAATCGAAAAGAGGTGATGTTTCATCAGGACAATGCGCGACCCCACACAGCAAAGAATCACGTCACAAAAGATCGAAGAACTTGGTTGGGAGAAAATTCCTCATCCACCTTATTCTCCCGATCTTGCTCCTTCAGACTACCATTTGTTTCGTAGCTTACAGAATCATTTGGAAGAAACAGCTTTTGTAACACAGGAAGAGGTTAAAACTGACATTTGTGAGTTCTTCGAATCAAAGCCAAAAAGAATTTTACAGTAATGGAATTAGTAAGCTTGTTAATAGATGGAAGGAAGTCATAGATAATCAGGGAAAATACATTGTTGATTGAATCTGTAATTAAATGTAACATTTGGTCACTTGTTTTCTTTATTCAAAATTCGGACAGAACTTATGGGATGACCTGATATATATATATATATATATATATATATATATATTTATTCATTATATATATAATGTTTCGTTAATCGTTTGGCAATCATCAGATTTATATAATTCAGGTAACTTTTAGGGATTTCAAAATTTTTCATTTATGTAATCTTACTTTTAATTGTTTTATTTTCATTTTATTCCTTTACAAAATTTAATATATTTAAATAAAGGCTATTGTTTTAGGACACTTTTTTTTTTGGAGCCCTAAACTTTTTGCCAATTTAAAGTAATAAAAATATCGCTATGATGGACTCTCCTTTTTTATTCGATATATATATATATTATAATTCCCATATATATTAGCGGGATCATATATATATGATGAACTGAAGACCTGCATAAAAAAGAAAATTTGATAACAACAAAAATTCAGGAATAGATAAGTCCGAATTAAATAATGATTTTAAACTTTTAAAAAAATTTATAAATTAAGGATAATATTATTATTTTAATTTTAACCAAAAAAAAAAAATTATAAATAATATATAAACTATAAAAAGTAAATAATAAAAGTCATAGAAAAATAAATATAAAAATATTTTTTTGTAACACTCGTTTATAGATGTTTGTATTACCGTTTTTTAATATATAAAAAAAAAAAATTTCTCTTTTTTCTTTAAAAAATGAAATCAATTAAAAAATAAAATTTTCAAAAAATATATATTAACAAAAAAAATAAATAATTTTTTAAAAAGAACAAACAAAATAAATGAAGATTGAATTTTATTTAAACTAAAAAATTGTTTCACTGTTGTTTCATCTTTACTTTGATATTCAACGTTGTTCAAGATACATTTATACATTTGTTGAAAAAAACAAACCCGATTTTTTATCTACGAGGGTAGAAAATTTCTTTTCCATCTGCCATAAATTTTTTTTATCTCAAAAATTATTTATTTTTTTAAAAATTTTTTTTTTTCTGCTGTCGCCAAATTGAACTCCTAAAACTCTTTTAGTATCTGTCATTTTTTTATTCACTCCAATGTTTCAAGCCATTGAAGAC